GACATGTACACCCTAAGAACCGAGCAGCAGACCACTTTTGGAGATGATGGGATGGGTATGAACGAGATGTTCGTCAAGCAGAGCATGGATTATTCTGTCCCCACCACCATGGGACTTGACGGTAACACATTCGACCTGCCCATGCAGACCTTGTCTGGCCAAACTTCGCCGCTCCTTGCAACCGACTATCAAAGCATGGAGGGTGTTGATCTCAACTCGTTAGCTCCGGGATCATGAGCACCCTACCACCAGGTTGTTCTTTCATACCCTAACTGAAATGACTCCACTGTCGTCCTCTCCACCTGCTAGTAGCCCAAGCAACGAGGTGTCTATTCTTCTCAAAGCCTCTATGAGTTTTACCAGGGTTGGCCATGTTTCCAATGCCCCTGGGGCATTGAATGGGCTGTCGATATGGCATTCTGGTAGGATGGCAGAAATGCTGTCTTCCTCAAACTGCAATTGGCGTCTCTCGGCCCTCGGTGCAGGTGAATAAATGCTTATATCGTCACATTTTTCGATATTTGCTACCCGATAAATTTTCCCTTCTTTTTCATCTCTTCATTTTTCTTTTCTGTATTTATACCCTTCTATCTTGCGGCTGGTCCTGACGCCTTTTGACACATCGTGTTCTTGATGTTTTCCAACAATTTTTTGTTGATTTTCTTCCCTACTATCCCTGTCCATTTTTACTTCTTGATTTCTTTTTTGACCATGGCCAGGGTCATTTAACGTGGTTATGCCAGGAAGTGAGCAAAATGGGCGATATCTGCTGGGAATTTTTACTTCATCGTTTTTGGTCTTCTCCGGGTCGGCGGGTCAGGAATTGTTTGCATTTCTTTTTTTCTTTGTGATGGTGTGATTCTTTTGGGATTCTTGAGCTTGAGTCTCCTACTCACATTTGTTCCTTTGACTTTGATTCATCATTTTTCATCATTTCCGCATGTATGCGCTTGGTAGCTTGGCCGATACCTAGCCAGGTGTCACGCCAACCGCTGGAGCCCTTTTCGCGAGAAATGTTGCGCAGGCGGCTGGTTGGTTGCCAGGATAACGGCAGACAAGATCCTGCCTGTGTTTAAGGTCAATCCACCTTAGGATCACAACCAAGAATGGCATGCATGTTGTGGATAGTGTCTGTTGACTTGGAGGCACGAGGCCTCTTGAGTATATCTACATATAGCTGGTATAAGCGGGTATCAAATGAATATAGTACAAGTGATGAGAGAGCTTCTCTACTAGCTCTCCCATCCCCTTGGCAGCGGCGCCTTCAATCCTCGAGATTCCCTCAGATATTTCTCGATCCAAATCTCCATCCTCTCAAGGATATTCATGTTCGGCCTCCCCTTGTTCGGATCCACGCCTTCGTAAACCCCATCACGGCACCAGACGCTCCAAGACCCCATCATGGTTGCCATCAGCACATCCGTCCCCAACCGATCCCCGACAACCGCAATCTCGTCTGCGCGCGTCACCACCCCGCGCTCCCGAAACCAATCCACCACCTCCTTCCCACAAAATGGCTTCTTCTCGCTGCCCTCGGGCAATCGGAAGACGGGAATCCGCAGGGATGACAACCGTTCCTCGATCTCTCGCACCTCGGCGTCGAAGCGCGGATGGCTCCCTGCGCGGTTGGAGACGATGAGGATCGAGTCGGGGGCTGTGGACTGGTTGAAGGGCGAGGTGGACAAGTTGCGCAGTGCGGCGAGCTTGTCTATGATCTGGGGAGGGAAGGTTGTTGTCTTGGGCGGACAGAGGGTGTTGTCTTTGTCGAGGACGAGGGCGCGGATGGTGGGTGATTTTGCGGCTGCTGGTTTTTCGCCTGGAGGTTGTCTGTGGAGGTGCGGACCGAGTTGTTCGGGGAGCTGGGTGAAGGTTGGGATTGTGAGGTGGGGGAGGAACTGCGAGGGGTTTCGTAGGAGGGTTTGTACTGCGTGGTTGAAGCCGCGTAGGTTGGTGTTTGGTGTGCTAGCCATTTTTCCTTTTTTCGGTGGAGTTGAAGCTGTTCTGTATGTATACGGACGAGATCAAGTTGCGCACAATCGAATGAGTGGGGGCGAAAGTGATAAAAGTAGAGAGTGACGGTGGTTGCAATTTAGGTATTCATGATGGAGGCAAGGGATAAATGAGGACAGCCCATGATTATATACTCGAGGTTGTTGATGAATCTGAAGCTGAAGATGAAGATCTACGAGAGGTACGGAGAAAGTAACAGCAGAGCCGCACAACTAGGAACTCTCCGCCTTGACTGGACCTCCGCTAGCTTCAACCTGCTCAACTCAGTTCAACGGCACCGCATTCATTCTCTTCATCGAACTTAGGGTTTTGCTGTGCCAGTTAACAATCTGCTCGAATTGTGGAATTTCAAAAAGGCATTCGTTTTGTGTCAGTTCCGCTAATCCATTCTCCTTCTCGCGCCGACCATCCACTTTTTTCGCGTAACTTTGCTCGAATCGCATCCGATCCTTCAACATGGGTAAATTGACCAGCACCATCGGTATCCCCATCAAGCTCTTGAATGAAGCTCAGGTTCGCTTTACTCTACTGTCTGCATAGAGAAAATCGACTCAAGCTAATCTGTAATTGCAGGGCCACGTCGTAACGCTGGAGATTACCTCGGGGGTGGTGTATCGGGGAAAGCTCTTGGAGGGTTCGTCGCCGTCACATATAGCTATAACCCGGCTTTTACGGATAGTGCTGACGCTTTTGCCCAGCTGAGGATAACATGAACGTCCAGCTCAAGGATATCACAGTCACTGCTCGTGATGGTCGCGTGTCGCACCTGGACCAGGTCTACATTCGCGGAAGCCACGTCAAGTTCTTCATCGTGCCGGATATGCTGAGGTATTGCATCTCTACTGTTTATGTGGTTTACGTACTGACGTCTGCAGAAACGCACCCATGTTCCGTTCGCGCGGCCAGCGCGGTAGAGGTGTCGGTCTTGCTCGTGGTAAGGCGACGGTGCAGAGGGCTCGGGGACAACGGAGGGGTTGATCTAGTGGATTTTTTTCGTTGGCGTTTTCTTTCATGTGGTTTTCGTCATTCGTCGTTCCTAATGGTACCTTACTTGTGTGGGATTGAAAAATGTGATTCCTTGAAGACCGGTTTCGGGCCGATACCCTGCGATAACAGATTTTCACATTTCCATCTCTGGGTTCTCTTACAAGTGCAATTGTATGTGCAGCTGGAGGGAGGATTGACTCGGTGGACGATGTGTACCGCGAGACAGGCAGGCGTCGAATACCAGCTGAATTGCACCGGTGGTGATTACCTGGCATGGCAACAAATAGAGCTTTTAGATACTGGCTAATAGCCCAACTCTGATTTGATTTCTCTCCAAACATGCCTGGTACTCCGTTGATAAAGCCAACTCTCCGAAATGTTCTCCGCCAAAAGTTCCCCGCAACAAACCACATTCTCCAAACCACATGGCAGCAAAGCAAGCAATACCAAAGCACTTGGTCAATTTTAACTAGACAGAAATCTCAGCGACAGCCGTCCAGCGCAAGCTGAGCCAACCTTCACCGAAATGACCATGACCTCCCCACCCGACCCTAACTCCGCGAGCGCACCCCAAATCCGCAACCCACGCCGTCTCCTCATCCTCTCCCCAAGCTCGCACTCGACCTCGACGATCCCATCGCTCCTGTACTCCCTAACAGAAACCCCTGTCGCCGACCCCCCGGCCTCCTTCGCAGGGTACACCACCCACCCTCCCCTCCGCCTCACAAACAGGTACTACACCGCCGACATCCCGATATGGGTTGACGAGATCCCTCTCCAGACAGCGGCAGATGAACGCGCACACACACAAACGCAAACGCCATTACAGACACAGACAGCAGGAGAAGGGAAAAGCGCGCCCTCGCCCTCGCCCTCGCCCTCACCCTCACCCGCGCAATGGGCCGTCGAGTTCTCAGGCGAAGACGCACGGGTTGTCCGCGACGCGATCGGGGCGCTGGTGATCTGTATTCGGAATCTGGAGGATACGAGTGCGAGTTTACCTGCGGGTACGGGTACGGGCACGGATACAGGTGCAGGTGCAGATTCACCCGAGTCTCGAAAGGATGTGAAAAGCCTCAAGGAGTTTCTTTCTGCGGTTGGACGGGTCAAGGGTGTGATTGAGGAGGAGCGCGGGGAGGTCGGGGATGTCCCTGTTTTGCTTGTATTAGTAGGAGGGACAAGAGGACATAAAGATGCGCGAGTGTGCGGCGAGGAGGGCCATTTGGAGGATTCGGATGGTGCGAGCGATGAGCCGTTTTCTGTTGGGTGGTGGGAGGATCAGCTGTTTGAGATGGGGATGGTGGGGGTGGAGGTGCTAGAGTGGGATCCGAAGGGGAAGGAGGGGGAGGAGCGGAATGTCTATGGAGGTTTGTCTTTCTCTATGGATATTGTTGATGAGTGTGGGCTAATGTTGTGGCAGAATACCAGGGTATGCGGCGCATTAGGGAGATCCTTGAGACGCATGACTGGGCTGCGCCGTCTGAGGATGCGGATCCTGGGGGGTTTAGCGACGATAGTCTCGAAGAGCATCTTCTCGGACTAGATCGTGGGGAGAACGGGTTCGATCTTGAGGTCAATGAGCTGGAGCGCGAGATGCTAGGGTTGCGGATGGCGATTGAGCATGGGGGTGATGTCGGAGAGGATCTTGATGAGGATGAGGAAGAAGACGATGGACTCAAGGTCGAATCTTTGGAGGCTTTGATGATGCGGATGCAGGCTATCAGAGGTATGTCTTTTCCAGGGAAAGTAATTTCAAATGCTAATAGAACAGACATGAGTTCCGAGTTACCGGAGAGTGAGCGGAAGAAATTTGCTGCCAAAGCTGTACGAGATATTATGAAAGAACTATAGATCAGATCTGACAATATAGAAATTCTTCTAAGCTATAGAGAATATAGTATAGCCAAGTAGATGGCATTCCATAACTGATTAAAATCGTAGATGTACATCATGACAGTCCGTCACCCCCAGGATAATCTTACAGCAGCCGTGAAGTCTGACACTTACTCGGCTCTTCCCTTCTTCTTCATAACCTTGCGCCTCTGCGCAATCATGTGCGTGTAGAGAATGTATGAGCCTGAAGAAAGTTAGCGATTGGCGGCGCGCGTTGCCAGAAAACCAACGTACCGGGAACATAGATGACAAGGACCACCACCAAGAACCACCAGTAAAGAGGATTCCATTCAGCAGCGGGCTTGAGCGCCTTCCAAACCATGATGCACTCGCTGCTGATACCAATTGGATATAGCACATAGAAGGTATTGTACCTATCATCGTCAGCAAGCACATACATACCTTACACAAGACAGGAAAAAAATACCTCAACCAAGTCCACCAACTCGGGACACCACTACCCCAAACCTGCAACGCAAAAAACCCATACCGGATACACTCGGTGACGCCCCACGCTCCCAGACATCCCAGGAACGCATAATCGCCGACCTTGGCGCCAGGTCCATACGGCAATGCCTCGTGGAAGTCTCCGCCGACGATGCCGCCGTGCCCGTCCCCGCGGTCGTGGAAGAGATACATCACGCCCCAGACCAGGAGCAGGCGGCTGGCGACCTGCATGGCGGTTGTCATGACGGGGGCGCGCACAATGCCCAGCAGACTGTGCAGGATCTCCAGGCCCGCGAGCGTCTGGGTCGTTGTGAGCAGCGGGGAGTAGATGTGGTGGAAGATGGCGGGGAGGTGGCCGTTGGGCGCGAGCGAGAATACTAGCATTGCGCCACGGATGACGCAGGTGGCCCAGAGACAGAAGCTGATGGCATTGTAGGCGAGGAGGTAGACGCGAGTAAGGCCTGAGGCCGAGGCCCGGGGAGCCGATGAGGCTCTTGTGGTGGACTGGGACATTGTCGCGTACTCCTTTTTACGTGTCTGTAGATGTGCTGTTTGCCTGCGCCGCAGGGGAAGGGAAATTGGTAAGCTGCGAAAAGGGGCAAATAGCCAGCAGAGTTAAGACTCACAATTTATGATAAATTGACTTGTCAATTGGCTGGTGGACGTGATACCGGAGCTTGTGAAGATGGTTATTATTTTGTTGATTTGATGGGGATGGCTGGTGATTATGTAATAACTCTGATCAGATCGATCCTCGGCTGTAGAAACTTAGGTAAATCTCATCATACTCATGCACTCTGTGTGCGACTTCTCCATAGGCAGAGACATGAATTGCTTTAAAAGAATGTCTGATATCAGCTCAGAGTTTAAGACATTGTCTGTCTGAGCTCTGCGCGGCATAATAGTCCGTAGTTATTCATGCTTATATCTTCGTCTGTTGTACCATATCAAAAGACAGCAGTGTACGGAGGACACCGCTTTCATGTCGAGGCTAAGAACAGACGAAGATTTCTTGACTTTTGTCATCCGACGAAGTTTCCAGCCACGCGGTCTGATGTCATATAAACAAAGCAGTGTAAGTGGTGGGCTGTATGAGTTACCGACTGTATGCCGAAATGATAACAACTAGTGATATGCTGTTTCTGCTTCTCGGATCAGATCCGCGATGATTTTGTCATCTATCAGTCTGTTGCAGAGCTCTGTATTCGGATCAGTTGATCAGTTGATGTGGAGATGCTGAGAGACATAACAGTAGTTTGCTAAGTTAGTCAGGCCGATCAGGGTGTCCACACTGTTGTCAATACTGGTCGTAGAATATCCTACTCCGTACACCGAGTATCTAGATAACGCGAAATGCCTGAGGCAGTAGGTAGGAAGGGTCATCCATCTTCCACTCTCGGCTGGCCCGTTCTCCACTTACTTCAGTACTACTTGGGATTTCCAGTGTCTCTGATAGTCAGCCTATCCCTGTTATTATTATTTATGGCTTCATAATAATAGTAAATAGGTATAAGCTGTTGCTGTACGGAGAAGGATAAGCCATTTGGCCCCTCTTCATACTTCCAGCCGAAAGGGCCCGAGCTTCAGTAAGACTTGGCAATGACCCCTAACATCAACGTCATAGGCGAGCCAAAATTCCCGAATTGGTCGTTTGTCTTCTCCAAACTTCGGATCGAATCCACTGTGATGTCATTTTTTGCTCCCTTCCCAAATATGATTGGCTGGAAGTCACAGCCATGGTCGAACTGACCAACAGCAGTCAAAGTTCATCACCTCAAATGTCGAAAATGGCTGAAGCCACAATGGGGGGAGGAAAATGTCAAGTTCCTTGTCCACTTCAACTTGGAGGAAATATAAAGCCACATAATGCCTCTCGACTGGATCTGGCGAAGGAAAAGCAGAGAGATGATGCGAGAGTTCTAAATAACTCAATCAGGAGCCTCAGTGCCTCATCTTCACATCTGGTGTCGATGCGAAGCCCACCGAGGTTGTGGAATGGCACCGACACTGTTCGCTTGGGTATTCCACTTGGACGGATTATCCGTTTCTGTGTTAGTCTGTCAAACCCCGCTGGCTTCTCTTTGGCAAGAACACAGGTGATCTTGGAAAACGCAGGGCGAACTGGCGAGTCCTTATCGTTCTTTGGGCTTCTTCTTACTCTGGATGTTTGCTTGTCCGGTACGTGCTTTCCGGACGTCCACTATATCTGGGACGGTTCCTGAGGGCCCAGAACAGCCCATGGCCTGAGATGCTGTCGGTTGTGATGTCAGACGAGAAAGACGGATTCCGTTGGATGCGAACTCATTCGGAAAGGGCTCACTCGTCACTGAACTAACGAATCGTCAAAAAGTAGCATGTTGATGTCTGAGATTATATGACAGCCTTGGCCAGGGTCGGGGGAACAAGGACTTGGGAGGAGTTTGGCGATGATGTCGCAGTGGATCGAACCCGCCCCCTGCCAGTGACCTAACACGCCCCCAACGGCCAATGAGAGGCTGACTAGCTGACACCCTACGTCAGTCTGTAGTGCGATGATTTCAACGTGCATCTCCAGCGAAGAAGTGGGGATGAAAACTGAGAGACGACTTCAGATGAAAATTTATCTTTAGATTCTTAAAAGGCTATTGATGAGGCTACCCAGGGATTCAACTGCTGGTGGAGGTTGCATACTCACGAGGTCATAAAATGACGCCAGATGAAGCTAAGTAGATTCTCGAGTCCTCGTCTTCAATCTTGATGCGTGACGATGGAGGAGGGATACGGACTATTCCTTTTGTCTCTGGCGCTGTCGGTTGACCCCATTTATTAGCCTTTTGGGATTATCCTCCCGACGGTAGGTATTATTTTTATTATTATCGGAACAGCTTCGTTTTTATTATTCCTCTACCCGATTGCAACTGCTCCAGTCTTGAGAGCATTGACAACTAAAGAGGCTCCTCCTTCCTACGTTTCGGACATTCCGGTAGTTTTCTGAAATCGTCTGTGTCAATAGCTCATTACCAAGACACGAGCCACTCTGGCTGCAAACTGTCAATCGAACATAGTCATCGCTGATCCCAAGGGCTAGTCTATCTCCTCTTGTCCCCGCCGCTCACCAAAAAGAAAAAAAAAAAAAAGCCCGCCCACATTTTTGCCCCTCCACACAACTCTCTTGTAGTCTTCTCTTTGAGTCTTTACCTCTTCGAGCGCGCCAAACAGAAGGGATTAAACGGAAGGAAAAAGGGAGAAAAAGGAATTATCAAAAATATTACGGATAGTTTGTTGAAGGTAAAAGAAACACTGTCACGCTTTCCCCTTGTCCAGTCAAACAATCAACCACATTCCACTTTGGCTGTTTGCGCTCTTGCTTTTCCTTGCGCTCTGATTCCTCACTTTATCCTTATTTGGGTTCTTTTTCCTTTGCACACTGTTGAATCTCTAATCTGCCACACTTTTTTCTCAGCTTCTGCTACAGTGACTGACTCCTCAGTGGGTGGTTTGGTAGCAAATCATATACTCTTTAGACTGCAGACAGGCCTCTTTGACCATCACTGTCTGTCATCAGCATCAACAGCATCACCATCATCTACTACCGTCTACTACAACAACAATAATAGCAATACAAGGTGGGATACCCCAATACTTACTACCCCTCCTCTTCCTCGTCCTCTCATCCTCTGCGCCTCCCCTGTCCTATCATCAATTAGTTTTCTCAGTCCAGACAGCTTTACTACTTTTCTTTCATTTCCTTTGTCAGCTACCATGATCTGTCCCTCTCAACCATGTGGACCCCTTCCCCTTTAGGCTCCGTCTAGGTTGTCTGTGTGGTTCGGTTTCGGGTCATCCCTCGTCCCCTCCTGCTGCTGCTGCTGCTGCTGCTGCTGCTCCTCGTCATGTCCCAAAATGCCTGTTAAATCTAATACTTCCGCCCCGTACATCCCTCCCTTTCTGTCGGTCTCCCCCAAGCCTCTTCTATCCGCATTAATACCGGATGTTGCTCCTGTAACTCCCTTAAACCAACCTCCGATCCCTGAGACCACCGCCTGTCGTGGTGGCTTGTTAAGCTACTTTTGTCCCTGAAGCCTTTGTGCTCGATTGGTTCCACCTTGGAAAGAACCCCGCTACATCCTGTGGCCTCTGCAACCAACAGGAAGGAAACGTACCGGAGGTGATTCTCCCTGATTCCCTACCCCTCGTCCATCAGCCCCCATCATGTTAAGCCTCCTGACAAGCCTCCCCTGTTGTTTGTATATCTCTTCCCTCCCCGCTGTCTGGACTTTCATAGCCCTCCGACCCAGTAACCTTCTCACTGCGTAGGGCGGCTACCCGTGGCGGTCGAGTCTCAAGCGCTGAGCGCCTGTTGCTTGAAATCGCCGTAATCTCGCCCTGGAACTCGAGAAGCATGAAACAACTGGTTTAGCGCTTGAACTAACCTTTTCGCACCGTGTAGATCGAGTCTGTGTCCAAGATCGTGACCACGGTTTGCTTTTCCAGCTTTGAAGAGCCACATACGCCACGAAGAGGAGAAAGGTACAGCAAAGCGTCAACCTTAACGAGTCTTTCTTGATCCATCTTTCGCTCATCTGCTGGAGAAACAGCGCTAAGCATCACGTACTTACAAACATGGCTCCTACAACCACTACCAAGACCAAGGCCGTTGAGGAATCTGTACGTTGCTGCCAGTGACCATCGTACCTGCTGTTGAGTGGACACTGACATCTCGACAGCCCCAGCCCAAGGAGACTGCTCCTCCCAAGAAGCTCTCAGAGATGAGCGAAGTCATCGACAAGGCCACTTTCGACCAGATCTTGGAGATGGACGATGATGAAGACATGGATTTCAGCAAGGGCATCGTGTATGGATTCTTCGATCAAGCCGAAACCACGTTCGACAAGATGGACAAGGCTTTGTAAGTGTTCGTTGCTCCATGCTGACCGTCCAAGTTGGACTAACATTCAACATCACAGAGAGAACAAGGACCTAGATGAGCTTTCTTCGCTTGGACATTTCCTAAAAGGATCGTCAGCTACTCTCGGGTTGAAGAAGGTCAAAGATCACTGCGAAAAGATCCAGCATTACGGTGCTGGTAAAGATGAGACTGGCACTGTCGACGAACCCGATGAGGAGAAATCGCTGAAGCACATCCAGGAAACCCTGGCTGAAGTCAAGAAGGACTATAGTGAAGTAGCGCAGTTCCTCCGCAGCTATTACGGCGAGACAAAGTCTCCCGAGGTCACCTCGCCCTCCTCTAAATAGTTGATTGACCAAGGGGAAGAGCTTGCACATAGAGAGCAGAGGCAGAACGAGCATGGGAAGGATGTGCTTCTGAATATACCACACGACAGAGTTGAGATCCTACACACATATACACACAATCACTCTTCACGTCAGTCCACATACCCAGAACAGTCCTGTCTGCAAGAGGAGTGAAGAACAAAAGCGACAGATAATTTCCACCACTGCCTTTCTGTATCAAATCATTGGATTACTTAAAATGATGTTCAGCGCTTAGCAAATGGGGTTTTGTATGAGCCATCATTCCTAGCATGCAAGATTAGACTTCATCAGTTTTATCAGACATTGCTTCTCCTTGCCCCAAGTCTTTTGACTACAATGCCAGATTCCAGCAGGGAAAAGGCATATCTCAGGCAGCATGCAAAATTCCAACTTCTGTTTGCTAGACAAATAGAGGACTTTTTATCCAACAGAACAGCAGCATAAAATTCAGGAGCAGTGAAGGTAATGTACAACATGTCATCCTGCGCGCGGCCACCAGACAGTCACAAGCAGCTGTCTAACACATTCCTGCCCCGTACCACAGTCCGGTAGCCTCACCCGTCACCTTCTAAGTATATTCAGAGTATGCAAAGGCCCATCGCAGACTTGCACGACATACAGCCCCTGCACCAAGCAAACCACGCCAGCTTCGAGAGGTTTCCATCATAGCCAGATGAAGATTGGACGCCTTGTCTTCTCTTGGCTTTTATTCTCTGGCAGTCTCGGAAACGATCTAACTGCCATGCAAACACACAGCCGCATCCGCAGCAGAGCACTCGGATAGATGTAGAGCCTACCCACCATCCGATCCGAACCAACAATGCCAGAGGCACACTTACCATTATAACTCTACTATTTCATCCTATCTCCGTCCCCTCTTCGGTACCTAGCATTCACAAAATTTTTGCCGTCTATGCAGAACGGAGTATCAAGGAGGGAAGCACCTTGAGAGCGCGCGTAGCTTGGTCTAGGGGCGATGGTTACACAGCAGGCGGATGGGAGTGGGACAGGCAATTCTGCACATTTGCGAATCAATTCAATTCAACCCTCTCTGGAAAGCTTTAGTTTCTGTTCTGACGTTGTTGGAGTATAAGTTGGGATATTTGGAGTTGAGTTGAGTGTAGTGTCTTCTCGCCTCTGTAGTGCCTTTACGGCAAGGCGGCAGAATGGAAGTGTAGTAGGGGATGGCGATGAGGAACTGATTAAAGTACGAGTACAGTGCGGTATACCGGCATATGTGCAGCCAAGCAAACCAGCCCCGGGTCGTGTGTGCTTGATCAAACGGTCGAAGTTGGAGCTGGAGTTTGCAGGCTGACTTGATTCGGATGTCAGTCAATCGAGTGGTTTGGATTTGGACTATATTCGTCTACGGTCGAAGTACAGATATAGTTGTGGTATTCATCAACTCCGTCTAGAGCATACTTATATCAGCTACTTAGCGGCAACAGAAACAGACAAGTCAGTAGAGGAAGTATGTGCAAGCACCACACCCACTAGCCAGGTCCACAGAGAAAACGGACGGATACCTACAGCCCTGCAACCGCCGAAACCTCAATCGCCGGCCCATCGACAATCGACAACGGCCTTGCAGATATCTGCGTGCACCAAATCAAACCCATTTCCGTGCCCTCGTTGCCAATCACAGCCCGTCCGAGCTCGCGGCCGATTGTCGTAGGCAGTCGGACTGTCATGTAGACTTCGAGGCTGGGAGTGATGGATGGATGGGATGGCTGACAGGCGCTGTGCTACGTTCCTTTTTTTAACTACGATGGTTTCCCGGTCCTCAGGAGCAATGCATTGCTTGCCTCATTCTGCTTTCCCCCTGGGTATAAGTTGCTGTCTGCTTTTGCTTCACGCCTAAAGGCAACAGGTTATCTATACCTGCTGCTGCACTAGCTAATCTTCGGGATGCCGGCCGTTGGACCCCGTGTGTCAAAGGAGGAGTTTATGCAGGCGCTGGGGCTGAACTCGCACGATCCCCAGCATGAGCAGTACTATCGAGCTATGAGGGTATGTCTCCATATGTCTATGTGCAGGTGCGAGAATGTATTGTACAGTATGCTGAGTATGTACAGGATGAAGCCATCGTCGTATACAATCGAATGAACCAAGATACCTCAGATCTGCTGGACAGCGTCAGAAATGACCCCAGCACCCGGCCACCCTTTTTCTGGCATCATATCCGCCCGGAGAGACAGCGATGGGGCATCATGGAGATCTCACGGAACGCCGGGCCCTTGACGCGGCCGCTGTTCGAGCGGGGCAACACCACGGGCGAGTACGGTCCCAACTGGGTGGCTGGCTGGTTGTTGTACAGCGTGTTTCGGTCGAGAGATGTTCGCAATAACCGTAATCGGCGGAAGGGTGACGATCATGGTAGGTTGGCCAAGAAACAGTATCGATGCATTGCTGACAGCGTCCAGGCCAGGATTCGAAAAGGGATAAGCAGACGGCACAATCGGACAGTGGACTGACAAAGAAGACGTATTATGACCCGGTGAGGAATGGATGATGCGGGTGTTTTAACGTTTAACGAGGCGACGGTGCTGGCTTGAGTTTTCCAACTTCCTTCTTTTGTATAGACAACCCTTTCATCGCTGGTCAATATTCATACAATCAATCAATCAATCATCGTCTCTGTCGTCCTTTGGCCGCTCTTCTTTCTGAGATCCGTTCTTGAGTCTTCTCTCCTTCTTCAAAGCCTCGGTAACGCGGTCGTCCTGCTCGTCCTTTCGTTCATCCCAATCAACGTCGTACTCGGCCGCGATGTTCTTGATTTCCCTGCGTATCGCATTGGCTTCATCAATGAGTGATTCCCACACCTGAAGGTCAATCCCTTTCATCTGGTAGAGTTTCTTTTGCCGCGCATTGATTGTAAAATCAAGCGCTGAACGATAGGAAATCTCGCGGTTGTGATATAGGAACCAAAGGTAGCCACCCATCAAAGTGGACAAGCTGACCAGATAGGTCACCGGCTCCATCGTATCCCACCCCAGGTCCGTCTCAAAGGTCAGTTTGTACACAATGTACCACCAAAAGGCGAGAATGCCAAACCCGCCAAGTGCCACCCGTTGAGCACCCCGATGCGCCAGCGCGTCACACTCATGCTTGATCTCCGCAAGACCCTGGATTCTGCGAGAGATCTTCCGCAGCCTCATCCGCAGGAAATATGTCCTCTCGTCGAATGAAGGCACGGCAACGTGAATCTGTTCCAGCCCCGCCGGTGCACCTTCGATCGTTACAATGAACTCCTTGGCCCGCGCGGCATCCCGGATAAAGTCTCCAATCTCCGTGGACTGCGACCACCGGATGAAGCGCTGCTCCTTGTCGCCCTGTCCAGGCCCTGGCCGTCGCAGATAGCTGAACGTTTCGTCCACCTCCTGAAAATCTTCCCCTCGTTTTGCCACTGTCGCGTCATCCTTTCCTCCTTCGACTCTGTGAATTTCAGCATCCGTACCTTCGTACATACCCCGTTTCGGCCTGATGGCGTCCTGTTCAAGCTGGAGCGCGATGAACGACACAGCAGGTGGTCTCTTCTGACCGTTCTCGTCTTCGATTGGGGGTACCTCGGACTGGATTAGACGTTCTAGATGGGATAGGGGCTGCTGCGGGTGGATCAGAATGGCAATCTGCTCAATGTCTTGAAATTGTCAGCCACAGCCAGAACCTCATACCAACAGAAACATACCTTTGCGGTTGATGGTTGTCAATGGAATGAGAAGCTTAAACAACCTCGACGGCGTCGTCAATAGCTTGCCTGCAATCGTATCGCCCTTCGTCATCGCCTTCGCAACTTTTCCCCCAGACTTCGTATCTCGGCCCGAATCGTCCTTCTCATTTTCATGCTGCTGCTGTACCTTTTTGACCTCAAGCCTCTCCAGAGGATCCGGTTCGGCTGATTGAGGCCCCCGCTTATCTCTGCTGCTGGCACTCAGTTGGAAACTCCGTCGACATGTCTGTGTCACGCGACCTGATGTCGACACTCCTGTGTATCGGATTCGGAATGATCTCGACGGCAAGGGCTGAGGTAATCGGTCAAGGATATTCAAACTATTATATTGGATTGAAGCACACTGACTTCCCAGCGTTGCAGACCGCAATGCAGCCGCAATGGGTGTGCGGCTAACAAGCGCCCGCATTTTTAGTGTCTCAGCTGAGAACCATGTGAAAGTACTCTGCAGGTTTATCGAGAAATCAACGAGATCTATGCAATTATTGGAAAAAAGAGAGTGACCATTGTTGAGAAAAGAACTCTATTTCAGATTCTCCATCTTCTAATATGTTGTTGGAGAGATCAATTGCTGATAAACAGGTCATTGAGCTGAGGCGGTGCCTTGGAACCTAGACGGATATACGTCATGATGCCTAAGCGAATAAGCAAACAGTGCAAACATAGCAACTAACCAGATTCATGCCTCAGGTTTACCACCGTTTTGGAAACATCAGTACAAGGATCCTAATTGCCAGGTAGACCAGGAGTCATCATTAAGAAATTGCAATATTGCTTCGATTGAACGATAATAGAAAAGGGACATCCACCTCAAGCAGTACTGGCCACCCCATGCAGAAAAATAAAGGACAATGCTCAACACGAATTCCAGTAACTCAGTCAGCCAGCCGAATCATCGTCATCTATCAAGGGAAAACTACATATCTTCGTTGCATGAAAGCCACTGGCAAAAGGCCCTTCAATCTATTAGGATATTCCAAGTCATGTCATCAATCGTAACGTCGTAAGTGTGTTTTTCTTTTTTCCCTTTGCCTTTTCCTTGTTTGAATTCGTGATCTCTCAATCCCTCACTGTTAGCCTCCGTCACTCGAATCGCGTGGCATTATCGTGCCCGGCTGCTAAAGGCGAGTGTCCTGGCTGAGCCCAGAGTCTGTCGGTCGAGACTGAGCCGGTTCCCCTCATGGCTTTCTGGGCTACTCCCACCGCTCCTGCTCTCTCCACTCGTCGAGGTATCAGCATCGTCAAGATAGCGGCTCTTCCGGCCCGTACCAATAGCCACCGGGATCCCCTGTACGATACCCCCGTGGTCATGGCCCGCAGGATACATGCCGTCGTTGATGGAGAAGTTCCGACAAATCAAGTACGCCCGCATGGCCGCATTCTCACGGGCAAGGGTCTCGGATTCGCATACGGAATCTGTTTGGTATTCGCGGTTGTTGACGCGCACAATGCAGGAGTATCCGCCTGTACCTGCGTAGGACTCGTATTGAGGTTCTGGCCAACGGCGGCGTCGACAAAGACCTGTTTCGCATGGTTATTGGCTGCTCAAAACGGAAGATCAAGTCTAATGTGTAGAGGATGGAAAGAAACCCGCCGTGGTAGTCAGGGATCAACGACAAATCAGAATGATGAGAGATAAAGCGGTTCATGTGGTCTTCCAGTGAAACCGATTGCAACTTGCAGGGTCCTTGAAGGAAGCGAAAACGAGGCCAGATTCAAACAGTGCCAAGCCCAATCAAAGGACGGAGTTTTCGTGTATACAACAATCCGCAGGGCGCCGATGGGGGCTGATGGGGTGACATACTCGCAAGATAGAGAATATAGTACATGGCGTGTACAGATAGCGGCCAATAAAATGTATGGGACGGAGCGGTATCGGTCTAGTATTCGCTGTCCTGGCTATATTGACCCTGCACGGCAACCTGGCAATCAATCCAGAGGCATTCAACAAGCCTCTTGGGAGAGATGGTTTTTGCTGCCCAATGCCCACGTTGTTCACACAATGATGCGATTTGCTAGCAGGGAAGGATCAAAAGTCCCTGCAGCGGGTCAATCGGCGTCGAGATGCTTAGTATAGATGAATGGGGACAAAGAGGGTCACCAAAACGTGAGCACATTGGAACTAGCGGCCGAAGGAAGACAGCAACATGGTAGACGGCTTCAATGATGATAATGAACGATCGAAAAAGAAAAGAAGGACGACGACCATCGGGCTAGGTATAATCGGCTCAAATAAACAGGTGGGGCTCCAGAAGCAGACGTCAAGTCCTATGTCCAACGGCAGAAGGGGTCAGAGGTTTCCAAGCGAAATTAACAAATTTTAGGAATGCCCTTTGTTCTACCATATTGGCTGGACTAGGAAGGTCGAATGTCGGCTTAATCATGATTGCACTAAGGATCTTTCGTGGGTGTGTTCTTCTTTGTTTTCTCTCAATTCCGAGTCGCGAGCCATATTGGACCGTTGATGCGTTGGCATGGCTTTCGACCAGTGATTAAGCTTGGGAAAATGGAGCTTCCTGGTCCATCCGCCACGGTGCTATTCGCCGCCGATCCATGCGGCAAAGATTGGCATGTCGCGCAGCATAACAATCTCCGAGCAAATCGTGGTGTCAATCTGCCATCGCTGCGCTGTTGCAGATGAACGCCCAGCCATCTGAGCGGAGGCCATGTTTAATCGGAATTTTCTGGCGCCTTTTTCGCTTCGGCGCTGATGCACAGTCGTGCGAAGGGGATCCCATAAAACCCCGCAACATAAGAAGAATGCAGGACATTTACTACTGTCCTCATGTTCAAGATATTGGGTCGCATCAGCGCGTTTAATGAAAGGCGTTGTAGAAAACCACTAATGCGCTCCCGTTCGTAACAAGATGCATGCCACGCAGGACGGCAGGAATCCCAATTCTAGCTCGAACCTAGAAGAATGAAAGATAAAATGATTATATAACCGTTACTACAGTGTATTAGAAGCGGACTGAAGGTTTTTGTCCGCAAAACACTAGTCGGAAGGAGACTTGCAAAAGCTGTAAAGAGGCGTTAAGCTGCGAAAGAACTCTGATCCCACGCCACAATGGCGAGAGTAAGTCATGACGGTTCGGCTAGTGTCCCGGGCAGGGACTCCCTTCCAATATCGACCGTTTCTCGGCATAATGCTTTCACTGTCCTTGGACTCAGAGCAGCCTCAAACTCGATCGGAACTAAGGAGGCGTGGAAAGGAGGGGGCACACGAGCTCCAACCCCAGGGTGGAAGAGCAAACCGGGATGAGAGGCGCCGGTCTGCCAGTCTGATAGTGGTGGTCGTCATAATCTGCCATGCAGAATTAGACAAATGCAATAGGTTAGTCCTGGAATTTCGACGGACGATAGTGGCCCAACGTGTGTGTTGTGACAGGCAGGCATCGGATGCAATGATGAGTTGGCAGTTCTCACTTAGGTGAAGTGGGGAATCCATGCCACTTTTCCTTGCACGACAATCGCTTCTGATGGCAAGGAGAAGCAGATAGAGCACGCAACGTTGATGAAGATTGGAGATGCCGTTGCATAGCATTCCACAGAAGTATACATCATAAATCGGGAGGAAATCCCGATGGTACTAAATCGAGTAGACACAATCAACATCGATGCTGACGACCCAGTTGTGGACGTAATGCAGGATGACTGTCGAGGAAGCCAAACTTACTTTCACTGCCGGTGCATGGCGCAAGTCTGCCTTCTTCTCCCATACAGGCGCTCGGACGAGTCTTCAAGTAACGAATAGAGTATGAGCAATCTGACATGTCCGTAAATTCTTCAACCCAGACGCCGAGAATGGGAGCTAGGCCAGGGGCAGAATGGCTCATGCAGTCTCATTTCCTCGAAATGCTGCCAATGAGGAAAAGTTGATAAACTAGGTAACTTGAGAGATGAAAAGGAGAAGGGGGCGGCTAAGCAAGCGGCAAGTCATGAGGAGGAAAACAGGCCTCGCTGCCTCAGTCACAATATCCGCTTAAAGAAACTAGTGAGTGATAGAAGGGGGTTAAGACTATGAACCTCATGTTCCCAACGACCTCGATTCTCATCCAAGCGATCTATCGATGCTTCTCAACCTTCCAGTATGTCAAACTCTCAACTGATCCCTGAAACCATCAAGTCCCCTGCCTCATCAATGTCGAGGAAAGGACTGTGCGGACTGCGACTGCACTCCGCAATCCTTAGCTTAGTCGCCTTCTATCCCTTGCTTCTAATCACCAGCTTCACTTCGCTGGTCAGCCACTCCTTGATGACGCTGAGCGCACGTTGGAATAGATAAATGTGCGACACATGTGACATGGTGAGCATAGCCCGTAAATTTGCTCTTAGTGTAACTTGAATTTGAACGAGTCACATGTACATCCCGACTGTCAGTGTGCAGTGCACACGCTGCTATCAGCTTCATTTGTTCGCTTTCTCGAACCTTTCCAACACCCCAACCCTTACACCTTACTTTTCTCGGGCTAGTCTACAGGTCGAAAGATTGATTTTCGAACCAGACACGTATACCTTCGGCTGACTTGTGTGGAATGACAAAAATGGGATGGAACGGAACGAGTCGGTCATTCTCAGCGAATACGCCAATGTCGGATCCTTGATCATCCGAGGCGAGGTTAGGGTCGTGCTTCCAAGAGAATGCAGAGCTGAAGTCATTCTTCGAGCTCGCACTTGAGTCAGTACAGTAATGGTGATATTGAACCGTGCTGAGCCCGGAGAGGGCATAACATGTATGGTATGAATCCGGGTGTCTGTAGACAGTCAGCCTTTGCACTTTTACTTCGAATGTTGGGGGCAGAATTGACATACTTTCCCGGTTTGTCTCGAAGGCCGCCAAGCTTGCACTGGCAACAAGAAAGGATATATCTTGTCAATCCCTCTCGACTGTAAAGATTGCCGACGGAAGCTCGCTTATGGCCTGCCGCTGGCTGAGTGCCATCTAGCGCAGCCTGGACGAGGGGCCAGCAATTTCCAACCCAGTGGCTGTAACACCCGTCCACCAATTTGTTGGTTCTGCCGGAGAAACCTCCCTCAGGTGCATATTGTCGAGCCGAGAGCCAGGGAAGGAGTGTTGCAACATTCATATATCTAATACACTCAGCAGGGGTAAAAAGATGATTTGTGGATGCGGATCCTTACCTTGGCACAACCACTTCAGGCCGACCAAGGAGACACAGACAGGCCAAAGCACAAAAGGCATAAGCGCCATGCGCCTCGGTGCCCGGACTCCCGGAGATACCACCTTCATACGTCTGACCTGCAATTTCACTGTCAATCACAACCAGGAAGCTCAGCAAAGGACGCCACTTACATCGCGAAAGATATTCAGGAAGGCCATCCGTGAATGTCTCCAACCCATTCTGCCGAGCTTCGGCTTCCGGGGGCAATGCTAGTGGCAAATCGAGGAGAGCATGGACTACCATCGCGCAGTAGGCGCCTCTGAGCTGGCGACTCAGTGAATTGCTACATATGCAGAGAAAGACTGATAGGGAAATGTTACCGCACGTCCTCTTCTCCACCCTCACAGACTGTAAAGCCGCCATCAGGCTGCTTCAATTTTCCGAGCCATTTCCACCTCAAGAAGGTTAGCGATGACTTGCAGGTAGAGGACGTGCCTCATCACAACTCACATTGCCTTTCGATCAATCAATTTGAATGCCTCTTCACCACCAACCATCGCGATAGACAGCACCGCAGCATAGCTCGATGCAACATGGGACATCTGGCTATGCCCTCCTCCAATCCCACCAGTGGGATTCTGTGCAGCAGTGAATGTGGAGATGACGCTGGCAATAATTAGTCGAAATCCATGTCGGACAGGGAGCCCGACTACATAAATTAAGGACAAGCTTACCGTTCGCGAAATCGAGTCACATCTTCTCCTAGAAGGCATAGCCCTGCCAAGGCCCAGTAAACCATCCAAGGGCGACTAGCATCGAGCGCGACAAAGGAGGCCGGATAGTCCTCCAGTGAGTCGTAAAGATACTCAATGTGGTCTTTGCGTTGAAGAGCGGGGATCCCATACTTGTTAAAGGGACCTTTTTGACTGTTGTGGATTCCCTTCAGCAATGGCAGGCATTTGTTGACTGTTTCGCTCTGAAGGTCAGTGGTCTCTGTGGAGAGCGAGTCGTGGATCAGAGGCGGTTCCCTGAAGAGCGCTGGAATTCCGGGATGGACTTGGCTTTCCCCCATCTTTCCGCTCTGGGAGGACGATGAATGGTTGTGGAAACTGGTGGCCGCTGGGGAGCGACTATTGACCTGCAGGTTGGCGCTGAACTTTCGACCTTTTGGTTTTCCTGCGGTCACGGATGGTCCTTGACTGGTCGAAGAGAAAAGGACTTTGCGACGGTGTTTCCCAGTCGCTGCGATAACAGGCATAGAATATCTAGGATAGTAATCAAGTTTCCGATCATACACTCATTTATACACGCGAGTAGAGCAACTTTCTTTGCGATGTTGCTATATCCTAATCATTGTTCTTTTCCACGTCAATGAAATCTTGCCATCCTCAGTCCATTGTTCTTCCGTCAAGTCAGGTGGTGGGCCTCGACCCCTCATGACAAGCGGGTACAAACAAATTCCCAAGCGGAAGAATTGACCTTTTTTTGTTCGCCTCCAGCAAGAACAGATGAGATCAAGGCTGACATCTCTTTATTTTACATTTAGAAGACTAACTCAATCAATTTCAATATGGAATAGCCACTCAGTCAATCTATTCGTTGCTTTGTTGCTCCCCAGTCTCCCTAGCCGGGAAGATCCCGTTCTCCGTCTCTGCTCTTTCTTTTTCCCGGATCCTTCCAATGCTGATCCCCGAATGGATCTTCTTCCAGCCTTTTAAATTTAAGTCCTTGACCTCTCAAGGTCAAGTCTGACAGATTACTTGACAACCTTCGATACCATCATGTCTAGGTGAAGGAACAGATAGGACCGTTGTGCTGCCTCCCTTGGTAGCGAAAGTCAGCCCCCAAATTACCAATGCACAAAGACACCTAAGGAGAGTAAGAGATCGATAATTGACGAGGACATCAAGAAATCAGTGAGAAAAGCGCCGCATTCCTGCCGAGGACACCGTGATTACTCTTTATACTCCGTCAAAGCCTTCCTTTCCTTAGTACGAATGCGTATCGATTCTATTTCTAACCCAACCAACAACTTTTGGGGCTAGGATAAACAATAGCAGTCGGTTCGAAACTAGCATGCATGTGGACTATTCCTAGCGATTGTTCATACCTTTCCCACATGCAATACAATAATCATGATCGAAAATTCTATTTCTCATATTAGTGATTTAAGAGAGTAATTACTACCGACGTCGCAACGTCATCAACGATCCGGGTCTTCCCTCGGCAAGAGCAGTCCCATGAAACAAGAATGCAACTGTATGTTCTGCTTGCGGTTGCTGGCGTGGCGCGCTGCGAGTAAGATCCAACGGAATGTCGATATCTATGAAGGGAACGAATGGGAAACTGGTCTGCACTTGTGAAACTGGAAAGTCAATACCTGTCTAATACTATGCAATCAGTAATGACGGAAACAGAGTGGCTTCTGCTAGCGATTTTCCCAAAGACCGTCTTGACGCCTTACTCGCCTGGAACCCAGAAGGCGTGCATGACCCCGTGCCGTCAAGCGTTGTCACTGACGCTGTGTTCTTCCCAGGTTTGTTGAGAGTTCAAGGGTGCTCAGAAATATTGATCAATTGCGATCTTGCAATGAAGTTTGTTTCGCGAATAGGCCTCCTCATTGACCCAGAGACCCCGGTCTGTGCAGAAACTCTATAACTTGATCGTCCCTAAGACGAATTTCTGCTTGGCAAAGGCTGAAGCTGAGGGGCCTTTGGCAGAGCAGAACACAAACACTCTAGCAGGAGAGTTCAGAGCTTTCCCCTCGAACAATAATCATCAGCAAATGTCGTCTTCTACCTAGCATCACCACAGGTAGCATCTCCGAACAAGTGGCCTGATATGCTTGCTAGGCAATAATGGTCTCATTCTGACAAGCAGTATCCCAGTTTTGGTACGATGATGTCCGTATCATTACGTACTGTCAAAGATGGAGCTGCTGCACAGTCAGCCACCCTAGTTGCCAACAAATCCAACGCTTGGTCTGAACTCTGGCCATAATTGGTTGGCGGTCCAATCCATCACCAGCGATTGACAACTGGACTGCCTTAGTCGCATGTACGGCAGACTACACTCACATATGATCCATGATCGCCTCATAATCTCCATACAGATCGTAATGTATAACCATGTACGATACTGTATGGATTGTCAGCGGGGTCTGTCCGAGTATTGCCACGCCTCAGAATTGAAAGTCTTTGCCAATCACGATTGATAATCAGATAATGACTTCAAGTCATTCGGCTCAGTAAGGTAACCGGGCTGGTAAAACAGTGACTAGTATCTTACCATTGGCACTGATCTTGTTGACGGTTTCCACTGATCTCCAGTTCCCGAGAGTCTCCCTGGGTCTCGTCCACGGAGCAGTCCGCAGCGCTACCGTGGTACTAAAGCATCTCAAAAGAACTCGGTACGGGTTTCCCGTATTTACTCAAGGGTATGCTGAGGCTGACTTTCAGACACAGTCAGGCCGTGATGTCGAGGTAGATACATGTTTCAGAAGCGCTGCATTAGGTGCATGGCTTCATACCTTAGATTCGGAAATCTCTGATGACTTCTGTTAAATCGCTGTACTGCCCACTTGGCGATTCCAAGATGATGATCGTGATTCATGAGGTGCGACCGACATAGGTGTCTATACGTTCTGTAAGCAAAGCGCACCTCTTCCGTCCTAATTCTCATTGTCTCAGACCCTCAGTCAATAAAATACCTGTCGTTTTTCCCGAAACAGCCTAGCTTGGTAAGTTCGTCAGAGTAGCCTTGAAAATCAAATGAGGCTTTAGCAGGAAACCGGCGTGGCATTTACCTTTGTCCCCAGTTTACATCCAATCACCTCACTCATCCTCGCCGGGTGACCATCAGCAAAGACAACAACCCCACCCACGATAGCGATAACTCCTTCCCAGGATCCTCTAGCGCAGCTCCAAAAGACGCAGCTTCCGCTCACCGCTGCTTCGTTCCCCACCGCCTCCTCTATGCCTGTGATTTCCCTCTTCTTCTTCCTCTCATACCCCCGGATTTTGGGCATTTTGCTCATCCGAGTGGCATTTGTCCTCAGGTTTCTGCGACGAATTTACCTTCAACCTCTCTTGCTGTGAACTCTCTTGTACCACCCTCACCTTGTCTGGTCTTTCTTTGCTGAGATTTTCCTTTTTTTTCAATTATTGCATTTATATTTCCTTCTTGATCTCTCGTAAATAGCTGATTCTGACAATGTCCAATGTCGATATAACCAACGATGGCTTCATCGGGCTTGACTACGACTCGAGAAGTTACATCCAGCCTCAGTCATGGCCCGTGGCGGTGGACCATCAGAGCTCCCAGCGAACAGAGGGATCGCGAGACATCTCTAGCGGTCACGCATATGAACAGTCGGTAGCTCAGGATCCCAACCTGATGGTCGACTGGCACTTCCAACAGCTGCAACCCCACCTTCAGTACACTGAGGAGGATCATTCGTCGGCTCAGCAATATACGACTTCAAGCTATGGAATGCCCATCCATTCGTCTCCTGTGGATGTCATGGCTCCGCCCCAGGGCCAGATGAGCTCCGGTCTTTTGGAAAGTGCTTATATGCCACTACCTGCGCCAGTCGACATGGTTCCATTTGGCTACCAGGATCTCCAAACTGAGCTGATGTCTTTCCCGGAGGGCCTGCCAGATTTGTCATCCTACGCTGCACCACGCAACTTGATTGGCAGCAGTTCCCCCACGGACACTTACTTGGAAGTACGGTCATTGTCGAGTAGCGATAACGGCTGGAGCGCCATCGAACCCCGTCACTCTCACGAATTCATGTTCCCCGATCAGGGCATCTTTATCAATCCCACGCAAACGTTGCACGACCGGAGCCTTTCTGAGTCATCGTACTCAACTTCCTACGGCAGTTTTGTTGACATCTCCAATCCAATCAACTCGCCCACCTCTGATCTTAACTTCGAGTCTGCCTTCAGCATGCCGAGACGGGTCTCCTACGATCACACCTCCCACGGCTCCCGGTCCCCTACTGCAGTCAGCCCTGTAGCAATTGTGCGACCTATTCCTGTTCCCTCCAAGAAGTCCACTTCGCCCACCAGGTCTGCTGGATCACAGGCGTCATCCTCATCGCCGCCCAGTAGGAAACCCTCGCGTAAAAGCCCAATCGCCGCGAAGACTGCGGAGACCAAGATCCGCAAGCAATCGCAAGCTGGAAAGCCGGAAGGCGAGAAACGTGTTGGAAAGCGAAAGGGCCCGCTCAAGCCGGATCAGAGAAAGCAAGCCAGCGAAATTCGCAAGTTGAGAGCATGCCTGCGTTGCAAATTCTTGAAAAAGACTGTAAGTTCTTCCGATCCGTAAATCTGCCAGCGCTTGACTGACGGGGCAACCTTCACAGTGTGATAAGGGCGAGCCCTGTGCCGGTTGTCAACCCTCGCATGCTAGATTATGGCAAGTTCCTTGCACAAGAATTGACATCAAGGAAATCGGGTACTTCATGAAGGATTGGAAAGCGGACTACGAGCGTCATATTACTCTCGGATTTTCGGTCGGAAACATCAAGGGTTTCTCAGAGCATGAAAGGACCTTGTTCATCACCCATGGTTATGGTCAGATTCTTCCCATTAACGCCCGGGAGGTTTACGTCCGGGATGATCAATGCTTCAGTGTCGACTGGGTCGAATCGATGCACCGAGAACCCACCCAGTACGAGGTCGAGACCGCCAAACTATCTGCTGGTATGGAAGGTATCTCACATGCCATGTTGTCTGATTATCTCGACCGCCACATTGATGGCAATGGTACTTTTGAGAAGTTTGTGGACGACTACTTCGAGGGCACACCATTCCTGACGCAGATGCTCAAGACTGCCTTCCGGTATTACTTCCGCACCAAGCTACCTGTGATCCGTAAAGCGTTGAAGCTCATCATCGCCTACAACCTGACTCTCCATGTCACAATGGTGGAGGGTATAGGCGAAGAAGATGGCTTCCTTGGCAAGATTGAGGACCCATCATCGAAGTTCAAGGGCAAGATCATGGCGCCTGTCATGATCAATTTCCAAGTCAAGTGCGCCATGGCTAATATGTGGCGCGAGCTGCAGAAGGATGTCCTCGAAGAGCTGTCGAGTCTTTACTCAAGCGTGTATAGTGGAGAGAAACTGAAGAACTGGCCTACGATCTTCATTTTAGCATGCATCCTATTGGCAGTGTGGGAGGAAATGCAATTCGACTGCCATTACCGCACACCGGTGAGTGGCAATTAAGCACTGCTGTGAAAGGTTGA